GGGGCAGTTGTAGCACTTCCTGTGGTTGCAGGGAAAAAAAAAAAAGAAGTGCCGGCTGTGGTGGGGCTGGAGGGGAGTGTGGAGCAGACAAGGGAGTCACGGACAGAGTGGTCCCTCTGGAAAGCAGATAAAAAAAAAAAAAAGTGTGGGGAGGGAAGAATGTCTTTGGTGGTGGGGTCGGATTGCAGATGGTGGAATTGTCAGAGGATGATGCGTTGGATCCGGAGGTTGGTGGGGTGGTACGTGAGGACGAGGGGGATTCTGTTTTGGTTGTTATTGTGGGGAGGGGGTGTGAGGGATGAGTTGCGGGAAACACAGTTGAGGGTGTTGTCGACCATTGGTGGGGGGGGGGGTGTGGGGGGTGGAAATGTTGTGGTCCTTGAAAAATGAGGACATCTGAGATGTACGGGAGCGGAATACCTCGTCCTGGGAGCAGATGCGGCGGAGGCGAAGGAATTGGGAATAGGGAATGGCATTTTTGCAGGAGGGTGGGTGGGAGGTGTATTCTAGGTAGCTGTGGGAGTCGGTAGGCTTGAAATGGATATCGGTTTCTAGGTGGTTGCCAGAGATGGAGACAGAGAGGTCTAGGAAAGAGAGAGGTATTAGAGATGGTCCAGGTGAACTTAAGGTCGGGGTGGAAGGTGTTGAAGTGGATGAACTGTTCGAGATCCTCGTGGGAGCACGAGGCGGCACCGATACAGTCACTGTAACGGAGGAAGAGGTGGGGTTTAGGGCCCGTGTAGCTACGGAAGAGGGATTGTTCCACGTAACCTACATAGAGGCAGGCATAGCTTGGGCCCATGCGGGTACCCATGGCCACCCCCTTTGTTTGTAGGAAGTGGGAGGAATTGAAAGAGAAGTTAAGGATGAGGACGAGTTCGGCTAAGCGGAGGAGGGTGTCAGTGGAGGGGGACTGGTCGCGCCTGGGAATTGGAAGTTCTGGAGGAGGTGGAGGGAGTGGGTGGTGTCATGGATATAGGTGGGGAGTTGCTGGACCAAGGGGGAGAAAATGGAGTCGAGATAGGTGGAGATCAGTTTGGTGGGGCATGAGCAGGTGGAGACAATGGGTCGACCAGGGCAGTCAGGTT